GTGCAGGAAAACAAGGTTAATCTTAGATAGCACATTTAGCTAGTTCATTTACATGCTGCTTTTCCATAGTAAATTCTGTTCATAGCAGCTCATAAGTTGCTCTTTGAGTTATGAATACAGTCTTGTTAAACTGGAGAACTATATTGCAACTTCTAGAAATGTTTTTGTTGTTAAGTTCACTGTGTATGGAAGGGGTGTGATGCTACCCCACCAATCTTAGCCACCACTGCAGTGCTGAAAGAGCTTTAGTCCAATGGCCAAAGGTTTCTCCTTTGTATCTCTATCTTCTCTTTCTACAGTCCCTCATTTGTTCTGATAGGAATGTAAGGCTTTGTCAAGAAATGATTTATCTTCAACTGTATGACCTCATACTGAAAAGTAGCAAAATTAAGTATACAGTTAGATAAACCCGCAGAGAATGATTGAGATATCCACATGCTGTAATATTGATTATAATCCAGCAGTGTATAGTAACAAGGAATTGTCAAATTAACAATTTATAACAATTTGTATAGTGATCCCAGTAATTTCTAACTACATTGCTAATAGTGAAGGATAGTGGGTATTTTATTCAACTAGAACTGGATGGTTGAATGAGAACTTTTTGATGACATGTAGAGAACATGAAGGGAAAGGAAACAACCAGATGATTTGAGTGTCCAATGAATGCAGAAAGGTTGTCTGGCTATAAAGCTTTGTCAAACAACAATATCATACCAAACCCAATGACTAGTCCCAACTCTAGCACACCCACTGAATCAATGGGAATCTATATAAGTTATCACTATTTCAAAAAACGGTCCTGTAGTTCAGTATTAATTGAGACCAGCAATTGAAGATGGAATTGGTTTGAAGAAAGAAGAGCAAGGATTTGGTAGGTCATCTACATGAAAAAAAGATAGCGAGATCTCACCACATGACAGAAAATTTGGAACTGCTGAGCCTCTACTTTGCCTTGGTATTTTCTGCAAAAGGAACTCTGGTGATCTGTGGGGGAAATTCGTATAGTAAAGGTGAGGTTGGTCAATTGGTGGTTCAACTGTCAATAAAATTGTAGTTTAGGAGGGTCTGCTCAGTGTAATGAGTCCAAGGGTATATCTACATGGGCAGGAAGCCCAAGGGGCAGAGCGTAGTACTCTGCCCCTTGGACTTCCTGCCCATGTAGATGTACCCTGGGAATGCTTCACTGCCTGCTTCTGTCCTGCTGTGGTAGCAGGACAGAGTCTTGACTGCCTAGCAGGGCCAAACCCAGTAAATGGCTACCCTTTCCTCAGTTATGTTGTTATTAGGAGGGAAGGGGGCTTACTCCTCCTCCCTGCTTTATCCCTCCCATCAGCATTTGTATCCTGTCACCGCATTTGAGCTCCATGGCTGCTGCAACAATAGCAACAGGCCCATCAAGATAGGTGCATCCCCAGGGAAATTGGGATGGATGTGTAAACAGTGTGACCGGTTCCTATTCAGAATAAAATGTATGAGACAATAGGGGAACATATGATGGAAGGAATGACTGTACTAAGGAACATATTGAATGGAAGAATGTAGGTCAGTGGGCAACAGAAATCAGCGTTAGTACAGAAGACTACACAAACTACCCTCTGATAGCTTCAAATATAATCAAGGTGAAATGTGGTTCTGTCACAAAAAAAACAGCAGAAGCAAAAGGATACTGACTGTCTAAACATTATGGAATGCCAAATACCTAGGATCCAGGATCATTCATTGCTTGCATACATGATACCTCTGACAAGATGCTAATAGAAAAATCACATATTAGATATATGAATATACATCTATTCCACTTTAAGACTAATTAATTTTGTTCACTTTTACTGTTAATGTTTCCCACAAACTCATTCTCGATCCTTTTACAACGCATCCTGAAACACCAACAGAATCTCTCAGATTATGCTGTGAGATTACTATTTCTGTTGCTCTCACATAGAAACCAAGAACTTTTTTTTTATTTAACTGCGGAATCATTTATATTTAATTAGTAGACAAGAATTTCTAACTTGGACAAAGCCACTGAGTGAGATCCGGCACTCTGCTTTTATGCTGATGGTCTGTGTGTTGCTGGGGGAAAATCTAACCTATCCCTAAAACTAATGGATTTATAAGTGCTGATTGTAAACCATTCTAGAAAAAACACTTCGGTAATCCAAGGAAAATTCAGACTATCACTGTATTTCTTATGCCTTAATTCAAAGTAGAGATAATTGATGCCAGTAAGGATGCTCTGTGCATTACTTTAAGTTTACCTCTAGTAGGCAGTGTGGTCAAGATAACACAAGCCTACAAAACTGAGGGTCATAGGCACTTTAAAATTGTGCTGGTTTTTTAGGGATTTGGTTTGCTCCACTATGTACATTTTTCCACACAATCTGGTTTTGTGGTTTTTTTTGGGGGGGGGAGTAAAAAGTAAACAGCAAGAAAGGGTTTAAATGCTTGTAAAAGATTTTCAAAACACTTTAATTTGGTGACATGCAACACAAAATTCTGTTCAAAAGCACTAAAAGAAATTGCACTGGAACATTAGAATTCTTCAACAAAATGGAGTTAATAACAGAATTGATAGAAATACTGCATTTGTATGTGATAGCCAATCATACTGCATTTAAAAAAATCAACACCCCTCAAACACTTTAAAAACAGCTGCAATGTTGGGGGCAAGGGCAGGGGAAATCATCCCAGGCTATTGAAATATTACCCAAACACAAACTTTCTTGCATTATCACTAGTTTTTGTGGACCAAACTGGATGACACTTAAGGTACAGGGTGCATCTTCATTGGCCAGAAACAACAATGCTGATCCAGAATGGGGTACTCAGATTGGCTTCGCTGGAGGCTACACTGCAAACCTTCAAGGTAGCTTGGAAGCTGGATGGTGGCCACACTGCGCCGTCCTGAATGGCAGCTGCATGGCCAAGTGGTGCCCGAACTGGTTTGGCACTAATTGACAGCAAACCTTGAGTTGCCCTGTTGCCCTGGCATTTGTGGTGCCCACTGGTCATAAAAATGGCACTCTATACTGCTCAGTGTCTGGAGTGGTGCTACTCAGTAAAATGACATGAGAGAAGGGAGAGGGGAAAGGGGAAATCACTTCCTCCTTCCTCCTCCTTCCTCTGATTGCTTTGTCACTCTGGATATCGTCACTCTAGTCACCAAGTGGTGTGCAAAGTCATTTTTTTTAATGCCTGGGGAAAACTGCATATGCCAGATCAACAGGTTGGTGCTATCCCCTGAAAGCAGGGAAAGTGGGAAGGTGGTATAGACAGCCACAGCTGATTACATGGCCCCAATGTTTCAGTTTACTCTGGATTTTTGGGAAAGCTCGCATGGATTCTGCAACTTCTCTTAATGTGGTTCAAGGCTGCATGTGTTGTGCAACTGCTGTGCATCTGATTAGCCCCCTTCCAATAAAATCAGTGAAGATGCATCCTTAGACCTGTTAGTACATATTTCCTCCTGAGGGATTTTAATGCAAGAATTGGACGAGATTTAGACCTGTGGCCAGGGATTATAGGGAAAGATGGGGTTGGAAACAGCAACTCAAATGGCATCCTGCTTGTCACCAAATATGCAGAACACAACCTTGTCATCACCAACACACTCTTCAACCAGAAAAAACAAGTTTAAGATATCATGGAAGCACCCCAGGTCAAAGCATTGACACTTCTTAGACTATGTAATTACACATGCCAGAGGCCACCATGATGTGCATCTCATGAGTCATGACAAGCACTGATGACTGCTAAACAGACCATCTACAATGGCCCCCAAACACAGACTCTAAGGAATAAAGATAAGACATGAAATGAACACCCAGAGCCCTCTAAACAAGCCCTTCTCCAAACAACACTCAAGGATCATCCACCCATGGAACACCCTGAAAAAGTTGAGGAATACTGGAATAAACTGAAAACCTCTATCATTACAGCCTGTGAAAAAACCATGGGATACCAAGCTAAGAAACATCAAGATTGGTTTGATGAAAATGACAACGAGATCCAACAGTTTATTGAGAAGAAAAGGAAAGTTTTCCAAATATGGCAAAGAAACACCAACTGTGCTACTAAGGAAAAGATCTACATTAGTGTAAAGGTTGAGGTCCAAAGAAGGACCTGAGAACTAAAGAACATCTGGTGGACAAAAATGGCTGAAGAAATCCGACACTTCGCAGATGTCCATGACACATGGCGATGCTTTAGCACCCAGCAGACTTCATGGATGCCACCCTTTTCAAAAAGGGGGAAAGAACAGACAGGTTCTATAGTCACATACAGACCCACCAGTAAAGCCCTACACTTGAGAGGCAATTATACTCGGCAAGGAGGGATCACTGATGATGATGATAATGAATTACTAATATGCCCTCTCTACAGGATTTTAGGTGTTTAGCCAAATGAAAGTCATAGGTGAACATAGCCCCATTGGCTATGTTGACAGAAGAATAACATCACCAAGCAAACACAGGTCATTCATTACACTTTATGATGCTTAGAGATTATAGGGCACACCCCAAAGCACCAGGAACTATTTCAAATTATATTCCCTACAGTTGCCCATTTGCAAGCTGTTCCTGCATAAGCAAGCATCTGATACCACTTTAGGCAAACATCCATAATTAAATTATTTGCTTTGTGAACCCATCCCAGTTTAAAATATTCGCATAAAAGCAAAATAAATTCCATTGGCTTTTTCTGAAAGAGCCTTCCTCAGATCATTCAATCTTCTGTCCAGTAGCACTACCAAGCAAGGTAAGTTCTAACAGCACCCCTCCCCAGTTGATTTATTTCTTTATTACTATTATTTTATTGAAAAGTTCTAAAGAGCATGGTATTAACACAGAGACACCTGACAAATCCACTCTCCAAATCATTCTCTAAAATAATAGAACAGTATCTGATTTGTTGGTTTCTTTTCTGAGTATAATATTGAGCCCTTGGCATCCAGCAGAATAGCTTCATGCTCCGTAGGAAATACGTGTCATTGGAGTAGTAAATTATGTAGCTGAAAGTCTTGCAAAACTGAATCTGAAAGCTGAAAATCTTGCAAGTTTCATCATCCAAATTCAAACAAAAGAAAGATAACAGCAGAATAGCTTCATGCTCAGTAGGAAATACATGTCATTGGAGTCGCAAATTATGTAGCTGAAAGTCTTGCAAAACTGAAGCTGAAAACTGAAAGTCTTGCAAAAGTTTCATCGTCCAAATTCAAACAAAAAGAAAGAGAAAGACAAGGGAAAAAGAAGAGACAACATTCTCGCTGTAAGACTTTGAAGATATTGATTGTATCCAGACATTGTTACATTTTGACTGACTCCACTTATCAATTTTTCCATCAGGTAGGCTGCGGTTGCTGGTATCTTCTCATCATTAGGCTGCCTGCAGCCTAGGTCTGATTTGCTTCATCTGCAACAATGGCAAACAAGGTAAGTGATGATGCCTTTAGCTTTTATATTTGAAGTAGGGGGCTAGTCCTATGTCTGTTGAACTGACACACAGCCTCTTCCACACAGCTGTATAAAATCCACAGTGAACTGGATTATATGGCAGTGTGGACTCAGATAATCCAGTTGATATTGTGGATTAGCTGCCTTGATGTTCTGGGGGCCCATCCACACAGCCATATAATCCAGAATATCAAGGCAGAAAATCCCACAATATCTGCTTTGAGCTGGGTTATCTGAGTCCACATTGCCATATATTCCAGTTCAAAGCAGATAATGTGGAATTTTATTCAGCTGTGTGGAAGGGCCCTGGGTTATCTGGCTATGTAGAAGGGTCCTTAGAAGATTGGGAGGCATAAATGCTAAAAACAGAATGCTTTCCAATGGAATTGTTTGTTGTCAGGGACTGTTTTTGTTCTTCTTAAATAATAATTTTAGGAGGAAAATCAGGTCAACTTCACTTTTACTTTGATTTTTTGAAAAACATGTTAAAAAAATCAAAACATACAAACCTCTGGAACAGAAAAACCTCCTGTTTATCCAGCAAAAATGCAGGTGGCAGTTATCAGAATTGATTGCAATTAATATGTAATATTAGAACATTACAGTGGGATCACTTCTGATCTCTACTTTGGTTGCCATCTTATACCCAATTATGAGGGAGTAAACCTTTTAGTATGGAGTGTAATGAGATTTAATTCTGAATAGACATATCTAAGATTTATGAGATTGTCTTGTAATTTAGGAAATTTCCACATTACATGTTTATAACACTTTGGTTTTCCTGTAACTACAGTAGAGTCTCACTTATCCAACCTTTGCTCATCCAACGTTCTGTATTATCCAACGCAGTCTGCCTCCTGGATCCACAGCTGTTTCAATACATTGCGATGTTTTGGTGCTAAGTTCGTAAATACAGTAATTACTACATAATGTTGCCGTGTATTGAATTGCGTTTTCTGTCAACTTGTTATAAAACATGATGTTTTGTTGCTTAATTCTTAAAATCATAACATAATTTGACATTTAATAAACCTTTCCTTAATCCCTCCTTATTATCCAACATTTTCACTTATCCAACGTTCTGCTGGCCCATTTATGTTGGATAAGCAAGACTCTACTGTACCATGTTTCCATCCTATGGAATCCTGGGATTTGCAGGTTAGTGAGGGCCCCTTAGAATTCTCAGGCAGAGAGATTTAGTGTCTCATCAAACCATATGATGAAGCCAGGACAGGGTAAGTGGAATCACCATACTTTGATTTTGCTGTCTGAAAGAGCCCTTAGATAAATTTGAATCCTAGTGAAATGAAATGAATGATTATGATGAGAACCTCACTAATTTGAATAAGATTTAAATGGGAACTAAAAGCAAATCATGTACCCTCCCTCCAATTTGATCCATCAATTGCAGCAATTATTAAATTAAAAGGTGATTTATATTAACCCTCCTCCCAAGAATACCATTTTTAAAACACAGAAGGAAAAATGTTTTCTACATGTAGGGTGTATAAAAAGTACAAAGCCTCCTTCCTTTAGGAATAAAGTTTGGCTCTAAGGCCCCATTAACATTGCCATACAATTCAGTTTCTGAATCCAGATGATCTTCTTTGAACTGGATTATATGGTAGTGTATCTGGGGACCCACAGATTGAGAACCACTGGATTAGAGAACCAGTTGATGATGATGATTAGGATGTTTGTAAGTAATTTGTATTTCTGTATCGATAGAGTTATGTATATGAAAGCAATCATTCATCCAAGTTTTCCTGGGAACATAAAAATAATAATCTTGATTTGACATGCTATAGTAATATTTCCATCCTTGTCTGCTAGGTTCCGGGGATGCTATGCCACCTTGCTCTTTGTCTGTGTTTCTTTGTTCATGGAGGTCTTGCCATAACATCTGTAACAAGGGATGAGCTGTTGTCAAAAATTGGCAACAAGCATATGATTGCAAACAAGGATATTGCCACCCTGATCAATGGCAAAAACCCTGTGATTTCTGAAGGTAATCAAGACCAAAAAAATCAAAGAAAGACATAAAATCTACACAAAAATGTGATTGGGGGGGGGGCATAGTTAGGGTAACCCCACTCTGTGATGATGCTGATAATGAGAGAAAAGCCATTAATAATTATATTCTAGTCACCATGGAATAGGTAGCGAAATTGTCACTTAGTTGAATTAATGAACAACTTCACTGAGTATTCACATACCATTTTTGTTATAGAACTTTAAGCCACTGAACAATAATTATAAAAACAAGGAAGGTAACCATGATCAAAGTAGGGAGGTGTTTTTTTTAAGTGTTCTGCAGGTACCACTATAGAATAGTGATTCTCAACCTGTGAGTTCCCAGGTGTTTGGCCTACAACTATCAGAAATCCCAGAAATCCCAGCTGTTAGGATTTCAGGGAGTTTAAGGCCAAAACTTCTGGGGACCCACAGGTTGAGAACCACTGCTATAGAATGATTTCCACAAACATAGAATTACAAATGAGATCCTGCTCTTGGCTCAAGTAGGTGTCTTCTCTTGCAAAGATGGAACCATGAGCAGAGTCACTCTGGTTCAACTCAGTGGATGGAAGAGATCATATAGGGCAGTGGTGGGAACTGCAACTCCCATCACTCTTGACCAATATACATAGTGGTGAGAGATGAGTCAATAGTACCTGGAAATACAGATATCCCCCCCCCCCCCCCGGCTTGTAAATAGGCGGAGATGCTATAGCATGAGTATCATATAAGAATATAACATGAAATGGCTGTTCAGGGAAACTCTTATGGCAAAAATTTGAGTCTGGTTGGTAGAGTGGCTTTTGGTTGTTGCAGAGATTGAAAGAGAACACCAACTTCCCTAATAACCCAAGAAAGACACACAAAGGCATAAGATGCCAGTAACAGGGTACCAACCAATATTGTGTACTAGACCTCACTTCCTCTTTGAAAAAACTTATCTGCAGGAATTTCATTACACAATGCAGAACATCAGAACACTATGGTGCCTTTGTACAAATACTGAGAGAACAGAAACAAAACCTGCAGGACTATACAGAAGAAGTGAAAATATTCACTTAAACTAGTAAAAGATATGTCTTTTCTCACTACACAATTTTTGTGCTATGATGCCACTTCAGTGGCCATAATTGTATCCTATGGATCCTGGAGTTTGTAGCTTGGTCAAAGGTCTTGGGATCTCTTGCTGAACATTCTGCATGACCAAACTTCAATCTCTTGGTTCCATAGGACAGACCTATGCCACTTATTATAATGATCTCATTGTGTAGTTTGAGAGTGAATAGAGAGAAATCAAATGAATAGAAAAGGGATTGTGTAGACGGACATGACCAAAGTCCAGACTTTCTTGAATTACCTGTGCATTTAATTGCTGGTGAAGTGTATCTGAGGCATACAGGTGTCTCATTTCTTTCTCCTTTTTTCAGAGTACCTGGCAAGAGACTGCAGGGGTGCTTACCGCCATGGTAGGAGGAAGAGTGGCCTCTATGTTATCCGTCCCCGATTCTCTCCTTTACTGGTGGTCTACTGCGACATGGAGTATGATGGTGGTGGCTGGACAGTTCTGCTCAGAAATGATCTCAAACAAAAGACCACTTGGTCACACAACTGGAATGATTATAGGATTGGTTTTGGGGATCTTTTAGGAAACTACTGGCTTGGAAATGAACATATATTCCACTTAACTAGATCTACTCCATGCTTTGTGCGATTTGTTATAATTGACGGTGATGGAAATATCAAACATGCCGATTACCATAGTTTTAGAGTGGACGGTGAGGATAATGATTTTGCCTTGAGGTTAGGGAACTATTCAGGGAATGCAGGAGATGCCCTGACCTCTATGGGCGAAGCAGGAATCCATGACAACATGAAGTTTTCTGCCCAAGATCGGGATAATGACCGGAGGCCCACTTCAAACTGTGCATTAGAGAATGGGGCTGGCTGGTGGTATGATAACTGCTATTCAGCTCTGCTAACCAATCGTAACCAGATTTACTGGGAAGGGTTGTGCACAGAGACTAGCAACTGCAAATTAGCATCCATCATGATTAAACCAAATGGGAAAAACTGCAACATTCCTTCAAGATATTAATGAATTGTTGCTCAATGCTTTAAATGCTTCCTCTCACCTAAATTCTGTTCTGAATACCAATCACCAAAATATTGCTTGCAAAGCTCAAGGTTTGAAGGTAAAATATCCATCCTCACAAAAACTTCTCTTGAGCAAATCCCATTGAAATAAATAGACAAATGCGACCCAAGGTTTCAGGCATTTCACTAGGGGCGAAGGGTGGGGGTGGGGGGGGGGTGTCAAGAGAATTCATTTGATCTCATTTTTCAAACACTTCTGAATAATTTAAAAATATTTTAAATTACATACTAAAACTGTTGTGTATTCTAGAACTTTATTCAAGAGAAGATTCACCCCTTTTAAGATGTGAAAAACCAGTGGTTTATTTAAAATAGAAGGCTAATACAAAGTTCAAATGTTTTTGTCACTGTGCTTGTAGTGTCCAAAAATGATTTACAGATACCTGCAATAAAAAATTTAAATAAATGGCTTTTGTTTCATTGCCAAATATAAACAAAACAGACATAAAGGAAAAAGATATGCTGTTTAATTTGAAGGTGTTTCTCACAGGCAGGATTAGGCTTTTATAACTGCAGATGCAGAGATGTAAATATGGTCTTAAGGTCCTGGGTTGTTGTTGGATCTATGGAAAAAGTAGACATGCAGCTCCTCATTACATTTTGGGGGGGGGGGGGGAGACCACCAGGTTAAAACTTCACAAGAAATCAGAATACAGTTTTGGCAGCCAAAGAAAATGAACAGCCAAAAGTTTCCAGGGAAATGTGAACATAGCAAATATGAGTTCTAGGTATTACTGATCCTCAGTGTTTCCTTCTCCACACTGTTAGAAATTTGGAGATGGAGAAAAGAATTTTTGAATAATTTTCTCCACCTCATACAGTTCACAAAAGCAGACACACATAGCTCAGGAGCATCAGACTATGGTTAAGATGGGGAAAATTAATGAGCAATGACGCATAAGCTAGGAAAAGCTGCAAGTTTGCTTTTGCCTGAGTCTACAGCAATGGTTCTCAACTTGTGGATCCCCAGATATTTTGGTCTTCAATTCCCAGAAATCCTAACAGCAGGTAAACTGACTGGGATTTCTGAGAGTTGTAGGCCAAAACACCTAGAGACTCACAGTTTGAGAATCACTAGTCTGCAGGGATAGACAACATTCTCCCCCCTCCTCTTTCTCCTCTTCTGAGTTAATGGACAGCAAGCTATCCTTGAACTTTTAGTTTATAGTAATTGAAATAAGCTGAGGAAAAAGAAGGAAAGTGGGAAGAGAAGGGAAAACTAGGGTTGCATTTACGTGTGCCACAATTCCAGGCCAGTCTGGAGTAGTGACATGCTGGATGAGATCTGGAGGCAGTTAGTGCCTGTCTCCATCCACAGTGGTAGCTGGTGGAGTCCAGACTGTTCAGTAGCACTCAAACTGGTTTGGACCGGTTGGATTGTTCCCTAGGTGGTCTCCTTTTACCACTGCCAGACCACCACAGAGTTCCAGAGAGATCTCTGTGGTGAGATTTTGTTGAAATCAACAAAGATGCCTTCAATACATCAGCAAAGGTGCCTGCATGCCTAGGGAAAAGGAGAGAGGTCTTTGCTGATATCAGCAATGGTGTCTGGCAATGATCAGAAGCTTTCTGGAGCTCCTAGTCCTCCACCATGGTGAATGGAGGGTGACATGGCCTGAGCTGTTGCACACTGGGAAAAGGGGATGGTGATGATGAATGGCGGATGGGTTTGGATTAGAGTTAATCCAGTTGTCTATACTAAACCCAAAGTGCAGGACATTTTTCGGATATCCAGGAATGACTTCTGATTAAACTTGGGATATGAGGTCAGTGTTGACAGGCTTTAACATTTCAATAACAGGTGAAAATGTAAGATCACAGTGGGATAAAAGGAACGTCCTTCCCAAAACAGGATTGTTGGATATTAATTTACTTTTTCAGACACACATGCTTATATGAAAATAAAATGGGTAGTTTCCAAGAAGCTGCTAGATTCCTTCATACATTACATACATAGGCCCTTTTATACAGAAAAGCTGTAAATAATCCCATTTGGCTCATTTTTGAAATAAGAAATAATTAAGGTTTTCAGCTTTCTTTAGAGACAGCTACTTCTTATGGGGCATGACAAGGCCAGATTAAGACGGCTGGGGCCCTGGGGTAGTTTAAAATACAAATGTCCCTTTGCACACATGTGCAAATTGAATGAACAGGCCAGGTTTGGCCGTAGTATCAAGGTTTGGTCATAGTATCAAGAAAAAGTCCTCCTTGGAACAAGAGTCAGCTCCTTTTATCCCCAAAAGAGCCCCAAAAGAGGAGCATTCCCCTGATCTTCATCCTAGTGGCATGTTCAAAACCAAAGTTTCAGGAGTTGAAAAACACAACACACTCTTTGTGCACTCTGTATTTGTTATTTGGAAATTGAATTAAAGTGAGGAGCAAGTGCTAACAATCCTTGGGGAGAACAGGAGTAAAAAAATCTCTGCCCCCATCCCCACTGCATGTATCTTTAGGTTGCATAACCTTCAACAATCCTGTTTTGGGAAGTACTAAAATATGTCTCAACCTTGATTTCCATATGAGGAAAACCATTTCACTATAGCAGTGCACATAATGGGACTTGGGCATCCAAAGATTTTGGTAGCCAGAGGGTGGAGGAGGGGATGCGGGGTATCCCAGAATCAAATCCCAGTGAATATTGTGGACCTACTGAACAAATAAAAGTACAAAATCTATAACAGGAAAACACAATGAAAGAGATCAAAGCAGTAATACACAACTGAATTAAAAACGAATTTTAAAGTAGATCAATAAAACCATATAGTCGCCAGCCATTAAAACCCCCTTCCACAGAAGCCAGTCAATTGCCACAGGGATGCCTGAATAAACAAGATATTTTGCCTATCAATTGGAAGGTCAGCACAAAGGGTGACAGCCTAACTTGTATTGGACATTAAGTTACAGAAAAAGAAAAGGGCTGGCAAGCTGTTAGTTAATGTCAGTTTGAGTAGACCCACACCATTAGTTGCTGAATGGTGGATGAACATGTAGATAAATCTAATGGATGAAACATATTATCCATCTGCAGAGTAAAGAAGAGACCTGCGATCCACAAAACCAAATGAATGAATGAATGGATAAAATCTAATGGTCATTTGTGCCATTTAAAAATGGCAGTGTGATATAGAAACAAAATCATTCTCTTCTGTTTTTTTTAATTTCTCCAGTCTGGAGTTCATAAGCTTCATTTATAGTGTTTGCCACCACGACGTGTCCTATCAAACAGAGTATATGTCTGCCCGGGTGTGCTGGGCTTCTGCAATTTGAGGCTCATTGTGAAGTTAATAACTTCAGAACAAACAGATCTCTAACATGCATACGCCCTGCAGTGCCTGGTACTGCCTTTGTGGTAAACGATAAAGCAGAAATAGAAAGAGAAAACGATAAAACATCTCTAGTGGTCACACACTGATTCAGCTGAGACCACTGAAAAACATATGACATCATCACATGGTTTTCTGGGCTCCATCCTGGCTCCATACTGGAAGCGTTCTAGGCTGGAGACCTGAGAACACGAGGGGCTACTCATGTTCTCTTAGCCTACAACGGGGTCAGTGCGGGGGAAGCCGGGTGGCAACGCTTTCCCCCATGTGATGGGGAAGGCGGCAATGTGGGTGATACAGGGTGCAAGACTACTGTTTTCCCTGCTGCCCCATGAATTTGTCATGCTGCCCAGTGATTTCCCCTGCTGTTATCCAAATTAGGGACCTCAATGTGATAAGGCCCAGTCAACAAATTTGGAGAACATGGGAGAGAGCTTTCTCTGTGGCTGGCCCATGCTCTATAAGTCCCTTTCCAGAGAAACTACCAACCGGCATCGGCACTACTGCCTTCCCACAGACAAGTGAACATTTCTACTGTGATGGGCCATTGATTAGTAACCGTATAAGGCCAAGCTCACCCAAATAATTTTATGAATTGTTCTGCTTCTGCTATTCATGTCTGCGTTTAATGTAGCGTGTTCTGCTTCATCACACTAGAGGAAAAAAATCCACTTTAAATCTGGTTGCTGCCTCCTGCAGAATTCTGGGGTTTGTAGTGTTGGGAGGAGCCTTTAACAGCCTTACTAAACTACAAACCCCAGAATTCTGCAGGAGGCAGAAACCGGATTTAAAGTAGATTGATTCTCTAGTGTGATGAAGTGATTAGTCTGGTTTTAATTTTTGATCGTTCAGTCTTGTTTTAACTGTTGTATCTCATGAATTTTAATGATGCCTTTTTTATTTGTTGCTTTGAGTCCTGAATTGGGAAAAAAGCAAGACAGAAATAAATAAATATAATAATAACAACAACTATAACAGCAGATAATAATATTGCCCTTCCAAGGGCTCTGAGTGGCAGGCATTTGCATACAATTGTTATTATGTTCTGTCAAGTCATTTTCAAATTATGGTAACCCAGTGAGTTTCCATAACTGAATGGGGAAATGAACCTTGATTCCTCAAGTCAAAATCCACTGCTCAAACCACTACATTACACTGGTTCTCACTCTGTCAATAGACAGTTATCAACAACAGGATGCTGAAATGAACTGAAATACATTAAAATGAGCTTGCTATGAACCCAGGTGCCAGCTGTCCCTACATATACTTTAGCAGCAACCTTGCAAGGACCTATGACATCACCTGTGACATCAGAAGTGTGTTCACTTGTTCATTCTCTGAAATGATATATACCATCCCATGTCAGAAATGTCACATTGCATTCTACATTGGACAACAATAAAGTCTCTACCCCAGAAGACAAACATCTGACATTAGAAATGGAAATGTGCAAAAAATGTTGCTAAGCACTTCAACCACTCCCAGCTTTGTCCTTTTAAGCACTCTTTACAATCAACATTGAATTGATACTTATCACTACATGTCTTCCATTGTCATAACTTCCCACCCTACCGTTCCTCAACTATTTCAATAATAATAATAATAATAATAATAATAATAATAATAATAATAGACGCTTGGGAAGTGTTCGACTTGTGATTTTGTAATATTTTTTACCCACCTTTCCTCGAGGCAGGTCACAGCACAGTCAAAACACACATACATTGCAAAAAATCTATAAACGCACATATTAAAATGTAATTCTAGAAATGATACGTATTAAAATGTATTTCTATAAAATA